AGCCCCCCCCCCAACCCCAACACCCCCTCAAACTCACAGCCCCGAGCAGGAGCCTGAAGAAACCCCCCCAGGGTCTTTCCTAGGACCCCCCCTCCGCCCAGGCCCTGCGGGCGCCCTCACCTCGTAGGTGCTGGTCAGCCCCAGGCGGTAGAAGACGGGCAGGAAGAGGTAGGCCGTCAGCAGGGTGTTGAGCAGCTGGCCCAGGCACATCCACAGGAACTTGAGGCCGTAGCGATAGGCCTCGGCGGGCACGCCCAGCACCTGGATGGCCGACATGAAGCTGGCCGAGAGCGAGAGCCCTACGGGCACGGCCGACATCTGCCGCCCCCCGGTGAAGAAGTCCTCGCTGGTCTTCTGCCCGCCTTTGGCGAGGGCGTAGAAGAGCCCGATGCTCGTGGAGATCAGCAGCATGAGGCCGAACACGCCGTAGTCCCAGAGGCTGAAGGTGAGCATCTGCGGCACGAACACCTCCATGCTGCCCGCCTGGGACGTCACCGGACCCTGGGCTCCCCCCGTCTGGCCCACCAGAACCAGCTGCCAGCTCCGCTCGCAGAGCAGAGCTTTGGAAAGTGCCTCGCGCCCCGGTCGAAAGACAGGGCAGAAATAAACACCCGACGGGGGGACACAAGGCTGCCGAAAACCCCCTCCGACGAGCCACGTGGATTTCACCACGGGAGAGGGGAACAGATAATAGCGCTTGCAACCAACCAAAACAGCAAATCGCGCCTGGAATCAAAGGGTTTCAGAGACAGACACGCGCAGGTTGGACCCGGGGCGCACACGCTCTGTTTCTCGTGTCAAGCTGGAGAGGGGACAAATATTTTCGAAGCAAACAAACCCACCAACAAAATCTGGGCTGGGTGCTTTCCGGGAGGGGAAAAAATCAAAATAGGTTACACCCAGAAATGTCCGAGAACCTCCAGGTTTTCCAAGGGGTGGGTAGAAATTGAAAGACGGCAGGTGGATCAAAACCCAAAAAGGTGCCTGTCTGGTCTGTTCAGAACCAGGCTCTCACCTTGTCCCATCCTGCGCCCGGCAAGTCGAGAGGCGATGGCATCGAACAGCAGGTGGGTTTTAAGCCGGCACGATGCTTAAAAGGCAGCAGCAGGTTCAAATCCTGACCTGAGCTTTGTCAAAATGAGATTCCTAAAATCTCCTTTGATGGTGAATTTCAGAAGCAGCTCGATAACTCAATCAAACGCCGCTGATCAAACAGGAGAAAAGTTTGCTGCCAGTTGGAACTACAGTGCCCCGGGAGGCTGCCTGGTGATCCAGGACCACTCTGGGATGGAGTGACTGCTCTGTCCACCTTGGCAGCTCTGAGCTGTGGTTTTCTTCAGGAGCAGCTCCGCCAGCAGCTCGCCGATAAGGGAGGAGGTGACTTAGTGTTCCCCGAGGTCTGTTGATTTATTTGATGGGAGACCAAGGTCATCCAGGCTTGGCTGAAAGGAACCGGCGTCCGGTGCCAGGCACCCTTTCAGTGCTGGTCGCCGAGGGCCCGTACTTGGAAGTCATCAGGAGGAAGTTTTTAAAGAGGCTTTCCAGCCCGGGGCCCGGGGCGTGGTGGCAGGCTATGAGCAATGCATTGGCACATCCACCGGCGTGGAGAGAGTGTAATCAGCGAAGGGACCTGCCAAGGAAACTGTTCCGAGCAGTAAGTGTCAGGTGCTTCCTGGTAAGGGATCGCAGAATGGGGGAGAGGAGAGAAGAGCTGGATGCAGCAGGGAAAGGAATTTACAGCCCCGCTGAGGAAGGCCGCAGGGCGCTGTCACCGGGGAAGGGAGCAGAGAGCTTCCCTCTCCCTCTGCACAGCTGTCCGGGATGCTGTCGGGCGCCCCGCCGTGCGGATTCAGGCTCTGAGGGACACGCACGCAGAGCATCAGGAGGTGGTGGGTAGCCTAGGGAAACTCCTGTGCCCCCAACCTTGCCGGGCCGGGGTCAGTGTTCCCAGTAAGCTGGGCATTTGTGTAGCTGCTCAGGAGACATTCCAGTGCTGCCCAGCTGACTAGCAGGGGGCTCACTGCTAGGTTTGTGTTTCTCTGGGTGGTGCACATTCACACACGCCTTGGTGTACATAACAAAATTTATTCCACACTTCAAAGAAAAAATCCACCCATGGAAAAGTTTAGTGGGCCCATTGGCCGGGATCTGGGGCAGAAAGGCGCTGAGTGACCACTCCCTGTGGGAGCCCAGATATTAGAGGCGCCCTGCACATCTGAATCCCAAGGGGATAGGAGTCCCCATGTGCCCACCCTCGGTAAATCCCAGCTGGGGGGCGAGAGAGGCAGGCGCACACCCAGGAAAGTTTGCAGAGAGGAAACCCCAGGGCGGCTTCATGCAAAGCCAGAGAGTGACACGGATGATCCTTGAATTCAAGATCTTCATCCCAGCAGGTCCAAGGAACACCTCCATCCTGGACAGACCAGTTTCTTTGGGGGACGTCCCGCACGCTGCATCCTTGGGGGATTAGGGCAGGGCAGGAAAATGACTCAGGCACCTGCAACTTCTGCCCTGCAGGCCTGGCTCCCCAGCTGGCCTCTCCGGAGCCATCAATATGTAGGCAGAATACGCTGGGCGCGGTGAAAATTCCCCATTCTCCTTCCTACCAAGAGGCAGGTTTCCAGTGAGACGGAAGTTCTCCTGGGGAGGCCGCCGCATCACCTCGGAACGTGTCAGCGTCTGCCCCGCGGTTGACGTTTAGAATCTCCCCCACCCCAGGCGTTTGGGCCTCTTAAAAAAATGTCCATCAGAAACCAAACATTCTTGCGGCAAATACCCCATCTCCCAGCCTGCTCCTGTTAGAAACCTTCCCGGTTTAAACCTTCTCCGTGGCGGGACGTCTCCTCCCCAGCCCCCCTTCCAGCCCCGCCTCGGTCAGGCCCTACACGTGGAGACACGAGCTGCCCCTATTTTTAGGGAGAGCTGGCTGGGTTAGTCCCTCGCTTTACAAACTTCGAAGAGCCCCGTGACACTTTCAGAAGGAACCAAACGGACCAGAATCACGTGCTGTTGTGGGTATAACCCACTTCCTCCGATGTACTGGTGTTTTCACAGCACTGGGGTTCCCGGTCCCGTCCAGGGCCCCGGCCTCCCTGCGGCCGCAGGGAAACTAGGTGAAAAGGAAGGGAGAGAGAGATTTCAGATCTTGCCTGGGAGCTGTTATCGGTGTTTGGACTCTGCGGAGGACAGGGAGGCTGGGTTAACCTCGCCGCAAGGAGCAACCCAAAGGCCTTGTGTGCCGGCCAAGGGTTTGGATAAGCAAGCGCAGCGATTAACCCTTTCTGGTCCTGCCTGGTCCCGTTTCAGGAAAGGCCTCCTGCTTCCTGAAAGCCTCTGTGGGGGGCTGAGAGGGAGCAGGGGGGGTTAAGGTGGCTTGAAACCCTTTTGCATCCCAGGGGTGGTCTCCAACGGAACACAGAGACACCCCTGGGCTGCTGTACCGTGCACTCCGGGGGCTGCGAGCGGGAAGGCCCCTTTCTCAGTTCGCAGCCCTTTGGGCCATGGGGACCTCGTGGCGAAGCAAGCCCAGAAAGTCCCTGGTTGACTTCCTTTCTAAAAAACCTTCTGGCCTGCCTCTCCCTGGAGCTACTCTGATGAGCTCAGCACGCCCCCGCCCCGGCTCACAGGAGCCTCCAGAGTCTGTGTCATTGATTCCAGCGCCTGATCATCTCAGCACAAGATCCTTCCGCAACCTGTCTCCGCTCAATCCACAGCTCCAGCTGCAGCCACGCCTCAGGCCACGGGCCACGCCCTGAGAGCCAAGACTTCAGCAAGTATTGAAGGAAGCTTGCAGGCTAATAGAGCCTGGCTCTATAGTCTAGCGGGCAAAACTGACCTCTGTGTGGGATTGGGGGGGGCTGCATCGAGGTCTGTAAAATCATCACTAGGGTGGAGAGAGTGAATAAGGGAACGTTATTTCCTTGTTCCCATGACATAAGAGCTAGGCGGTCGCCTGATGAAATGAACAGGTGGTGGGTTTAAAACAAACAACAGGAAGGTTTTTGTCATGCTGCGCACCATTAACTTGTGGAACTCCTTGCCAGAGGATGTGGTGAAGACTGGAACTTTAACAGAGTTCAAAAAGGAGCCAGATAGATTCATGGAGTTGAGGTCCATTGATACTTATTAGCCAGGATGGGTAGGGGGATGGTGCCAGAAGTTAGGAATGGTTGATAGAAGAAGGATCATGTAATGATCCCCTGTTCTGTTCACTCCCAGTGGGGCACCTGGCATTGGCCGCTGTTGGCAGGCAGGACACTGGGCTAGATGGACCATTGGTCTGACCCAGCCTGGCTGTTCTGATGTTCTGACACCGAGTCTGAGAAATCTCCAATCCTCAGAGAAACAGGGAGCGAACAACTTCCAAAGGGTGAGCTGTCAGCCCGAGTCATGGAAGCCCCAGTGCAGCTGGCACAGTTGCATCCTGCCTTCCTCCATCTCCCTGTGGCAGCTGGATGCAGGATTTCTATTCACTGCCTGGCTGTGCAGCACTGCTGAGCTCCTGAAGCCGGTGCCCCCCACCACCCACCCCAGAAGTGGCTGCATTTCAGCTGCGAGGCTCGTCGGGGCGTGGCTTCCTGCGGACAAAGTCTGCAGATGCCGTAAAAGGCATGCACCTCTTTCCTCCTGCAGGGCCGGCGGGTTTTCGGCTCTGCCTTTCTCGCCCTGGTCGCCGTGGGGCGTGAAGCCGGCAGCCTTCCGACGCCCACCCGGCGGGGCTGTGCACCGAGGGGATCATGGTGCCACGTGGCTGGGGCATCCTGCCAGCCCTTCCCCGCAGCTGGAGAAAGGCAAATTTAGCTCTTGGCAGATGTGTCAACGCTTCTGGCCTGGGTCTGTATCTGCCAAACAATGGGCCCCTGCGTGGGGCTTCTCCCGGTCAGCCTTAGACTCTCTGGCTGACTTCGGGCATGCTTCTTTTTCCGTCCGTCCAAGGGGCTAACGAGTCTACAGACCTTTGGTGAGAGCCTGAAAAATTGGGTCACTTTCAACCCGGGCCAGGCTCTGCATCGAGGTGTGGGACTCCTTCCCTGCTCCATCACCTGAGCCGGGACCTCGTGCCTCAGGCATGTCACATCCCCCTAGGTGCTGACCCGGCCCGAATGAATCCCAGCTCCCCGAGAAAAACATCCAGGCTTGCTTTTCAAATGGAGAATCTACTACCGCCCTTGGACAGTGGGCCCACGAGTTAATTACCCTCCCAGTTTAAAACATACAGTAATTCCTCATGTCACGCTATAGAGATGTTTTGGAAAATGATCGTGCGCAGTGAAACGTGCTATACGGGATCAATTTTCCCATTGAAAATAATGGAAAAGCTGGGGGTTGTGTTTCAAGCGGTGGTGTCTGTTGGGACCGGGACATAAGATTGGGGGAGAAAGGGGACTGGGTTACAGCAGGGAGGGGAGGGGTTTGGCTCTGGGGAAGGGAAGGGGAGGAGAGGGGAGGGGGATTGGGTTGGGAGTATGCCCCAGTGACGGGTCTGCCGGGACCCGCACTGCGTCCGGCGAGGGGAGGTCGCTGGGGAACGGCGCGGCGAGCAGTGAACCCTCCGCTGCTTTGCAACGAGGCGGGGGAAGCCTCACACAGCTGCCGGCAACAGGCCGGCTGGGGGAAC